ATTAACAAAGGTGTTTTTTAAGTTGTTATATAAACAATTTTGTTTTACAAATTAATTCCACCAACTGGTCACGAACCTTGTTATTTTTTTTGTTTGAGAATGAACAAGAGAGCAAAAAGAGAAATAAGAAAATCTCTAAAACGACAGACACAGGTAGGAACTGACAAAATGGAAATAATTAAAAACAAAAACAGGTAAAAAAAACAACATTCATTACACTGGGTAATTTTTATATCCTTTTTTATTATTATTAAGAAACACGAGAATTAGACTAGGACTAAGTGGCTTAATAATAATAATTCTTCAAAGCCTTTAATATTTATACTTAAAATTTCAAGTATTTATTTATATTTAAAGACTAAAATATCAGTATTTATTTTTACTATTTTTACATTTAAAGATGGTGTTTTATCTTCTACCTTTTTTTAAAGGTACACTGCACTCGCTTCACCTTTTTTGCTCCAGTCTCCCAGGCATGTAATAAACAAAATTTTATCTTAAGTTTCAATATTAAACAACAGAAATTATCAATAAAATAAAATACAGCATATAATGCGTTTAAAAATAATTATTTTCTACTTGGTCCAAAAAAACAAACAAACAACAAAAAACGGCAGAATCAAGACCTAACCATAGTCACATCTTCCTATTTTTCAAAATAAAACCACTTCCTGTAACCCTACATTTACAGTTCATGTTGACCTTCAGCAGCCAATCAGAGGCCGACATGAGCTGCTGAGACAAACCTGCCCAGGTGTGTGTCAACACAGACCAGAGTGGGAGGGGCCGACAGGTGTGCATATTCATATACTGGGAAAATGTTCCCAGGTGTGTGTGTGTGTGTGTGAGTCGGAGAGAGGGAGCCGCTCCTTACCCGCCCTCCTCAAACAGGACAGGAGCCTCCTGGGCAAATATTTAGAGTCAAAACAGGCCAGGCCCATAAAAAGCTGAGAGGAGTCAGTGGTGGCGTGGCTACATCTGTCGAGGGGGGGGGGGCGGGGGGGGGGGGGGGCAGAGAAAAGGACAAGAGGGGGG